ATAAATATATAAATATATAAATATATAAATATATAAATATATAAATATATAAATATATAAATATATAAATATATAAATATATAAATATATAAATATATAAATATATAAATATATAAATATATAAATATATAAATATATAAATATATAAATATATAAATATATAAATATATAAATATATAAATATATAAATATATATATACATAAATATATAAGTGAATATATTATATTATATTATAATATTTTTATTAATTATACAAATTATATTTTCATCTAAATTAAAAAAATAATTATATAGAATAATATTGTTACTAATTATATTATATTAATAATTATTATTTTTTTATCATAACAGTATGTTTTGATATTCTTATAATGTTATAATATGTTAATATTGGTAATTTATTATTGAACCGCTGCAGTATCTCATAATCAACTAGTTATAAATGTCCCGCAAACACACCAATTTTTAATCGATGTACCAGTCGTACAAATCGCCTAATAACGCTAGAAACAACATCTACCCACATCCACAAACTCCCGCAACCGCAACTGTTGCTTTTAAAACAGTCAGGCCCTTAAAATACATGTCCACAAATTCAACACACACTCAATCATCGCTTTAAAGCCAAAAATAAATCCTTCATTTCATGTTTCCTAGTACAAACGCTTTGGGATGGAACTAGTTAACTATCAACAGCTTTCTTTGCCATCCACCAATCAAATATGGAAGACAAATAAAATCAGATGTAAGAAATAAACTAAAGCATACATAAAGAGTAGTAAGTGAGTCCTATAAGTCATGTTTGGTGGTGGGATTGGGAAGAAGAGGAGTGTGGTGGGTTTTGTTGTTGAAAGAGGTGAACAAGTGAGTAAAAGAGTTGAAGCCTTGTGACGTGTGGCTTTGACTCAACGATCAAGTGTGCCCATATCCTTCCCTGTCTCCTTTCCATGACTCCTTTCAATATGTTCAATCCTAGACCTCTCACCACATGTGCAATCTCAAGAAACTCATCCCCACTTTCCTGGCAAACCATCTCTATCTGCATTTGTCCTTGCGTCTTCAAATCCTCCACGATGATTGGACACACCACCGACTCATCATCCCCAACTTCCAACGCCCATGTTCTCTCCTTCTCCTTCACCAGCTGCCATATACATTGCAAAATTCAATCGTCATCAAAAGAAACAAATATTGGTTTACTCTTCCTTTTGGAGTGAGAGAATATGTTTTTTCTTTTGCTAAAATTTGGGTGAGAGACTATGTTTCTTTACTTAATATATTGAAACCAAAAAAAAAAAAAAAATATAGATTTGTTTCAGTTCAAGACTCACCTTAGACTCGTATGGTTGTTTGAGTTGGTCAGCGTACTTGGCGATGCTTTGCATGAACACCATGTGCTTTATCGTCAGATCAAGCAACGTATCAATGCTACACTGTTCAGACCAAACAAGATTCAAATCATTTTGTGATCTTTCTCAATGCTGCTAATCTCTTATGAAGGTTTTAACTAAAAGATGGGTTTACCTTTGCTCCATTTGGAATCATCCCTCGTAGCTCCTTGATACGGTCTTGTATCATCTGCCTGTCTTTAGGCCTTGGCTTCCTGCTTTCTCCTCTTTTCTTCTTCTTCTTCACTCCATCTTCTTCTTCTTGAGGTTTCTTCCAATTATCAATCCACAGGGGAGTACTAATAGGTGTTGATAGTGTCTCTTCTGCCTGAGTCATGAAGACGCTTGAGCTTGTTGATGTGTCAAGTTTCCGTCTCTTGCTCTGATTCAGGCCAGAATAAGAGTCTTCTTGCACATTTGTGAGACAACTAGTGCTGTTGCTAAGGCTAGTGCTTATGAGCTCAGAGAATAGTCCTTTTTTCTGAGGCGGAGAATCATGGGAATGGATCCCCAAAATGTCGAAAAGATCCTTGTCGTTTCCTTGGATCACCATGGAGCTTTCCTGATCACCTCCTGATGAGCAATTCTGTTCTGGTGAATCAGCCAGCAGCTGGAACAGATCGTCCACAGAGTAAGAGTTGAGAATGTCAAACACACAATCATCATCCCCATTAATGTCTGAAGAAGAAGGTTTTAGAGATGCTTCAGAAGTTGGTTTATCGAAACTAGGGCTGAGCAAAGAAGGAGGATTAGTGTCGTCAGTGAAGATGTCATCGAAACTGAGTCCTTGGAAAGATTCAGGAACAATGTCACAGTCTACCAGAGGTGCTAGAGACTCGAACAAAGTATCTAGATCCACAGACTGATCCTTTAGTTTCAAAGAATGCTTTTCCTGCAGTGCTCTTGCTGTTTCTTCCAACATCTCTAGGCTCTCAACAATCTCAAGATAGACAGATGGAAAAACACTAATCAGTCCTTAACTTCCACTGCAAGAAATATAAAATTTTTGGAAAATATTTGTCATTTTTTAATGCAAACCTTTTGTGTAGAGCCTAACTGAATAACGCCGCTTGATCCTACTGGAATGATTGCGATACTCTGTAATTTTAACATCCATATATAAGTATCTGCTTTAAATATATCATATATATGAAGCCTAATTAAACTTTGAACAATAAAAATTTACCTTAAAGCCAGAGAGAAACTGATTCAGAAACTCATGCTCACACTGCAGAAAAGTCAAACATTTTTACTCTTCATAATATTTGGACAGAGAATCAAACATCAAAGGAAAACAAATGTGAAGAAGGTGAACAAAACCTGAACAAGTGTGTCTGAGAACAGCCATTGGTAGTTACCGGTTAAAGCAGCTTCACCCACAATGCTGGAATAATTTAAAAGAAAAAGAATATATAAATATACCAATACATCATGTAAATGTATGAATAAATATCTGAGCTTCTTACCCCTGGCCTAAGACATGAGTCTGGAGAATCATATCATCAACGAGTGTGGCTGATTGTTCATCATTGTGTGTTTCTTCAACTCTCAGTAACCTGATAATGAAATCCATAGTTTTCCATCCAAGAAAATTAATTCACAGTAAAATCTCAAAGTGTGTAAAATGAAATATGAACCTAAGGCAAGATGCAATTTTTTAGCCTAACCAGAAATTAATAAGATCAAAATGAAAAAAAAAAAAAACTAGGTTTATGGAAATCTAATTCAAGAAAGAAGCATGCAAAAGAGGAAGAAGTTACATGGGATCAATGGGGTCATAGCGCCAAAAGACAGCATAAGACCATCCATAGCTGAAACATAGACTCTTCAATATCTGCTTAACCTCCATATCCATCATCACCAAATCAAGAATCCAAGGCTCACAAGACTCGAGAAGACTTCTTAAATGATTTATGAATGATCTCCACTTATATACTAGTACTTATGGAAAATGGATTTCGAACTCTTAAAAAGGTAGAGACTTTTGTCTTCTCCAGAAACCAAACTCCAAAGACAAAAGCTGGAAAACAGAGAAGAAATGTCTGTTTATGGTTTTATTTTAATCTGCAGAAAAAAAACAGAGAGAATTGCTATGCTTTTTGTTCAAGCAACTTAAAAGGAGTTTAAAGCCTTTGTCTTTCTATAGATATAAGCTATATAAGCATATAATGTGGGTGTACATTTTGTGATTCCATAGGAAGTGGAGGGAGAGCCTTTTTGTCTGAGGAAGAGAGAGAGAGAGATGTTACATTGCAGGACTTTAAAATAATAATAGTAAAGATATTATTAATTTATTGTATTTTGGTTTGTTTGCCGGTGTCCAGTCACGCTTTTGTCCCCTAAGTGACGATAATTACACCTGCTATTACTAGGGGTGGGCACGGATCGGATATCCGGGTTTTCGAAGGTATTTGTGATTTGCTTCGTATGTTACGGATATCTGATTTTGGTATTTGCTTTGCTTCAGAAAAATACGGATATCCGGAAAAACGAATATCCGGAAAATAAACAGATATTTGCGGATATTTACGAATACTTACGAATATCTCATCCGTTACAAATAATCTTATATAAATTTATTTTGTAAATTTTTTTTACATGATATATAAAATAAAAAATAAAGAAGTAGTGAATTTACATATTTTATAATTTTTATGTTTAAGTTAACAACTATAATAACACAAAACTTAAGATTTTTTTTATAATTTTCATACTTTTTCTCTTTTTTTTTTATCTAATAATTTTATATAAGTAATAATGTGAATCTAATTAGTTAAATCATAAGCTATAATAATAATTTTATATATTTACAATTTTAAATATAATCAAAATATACATATATTTATATATTTCCGGATCGGATCGGATATCCGCTTCCCAAAATTTTAATATTTGTGATTTGCTTCGGTTTTAACGGATATTGATTTTTAATATTTGCTTTGATTCGAAAGTTTACGGATATCCGGAATTTTCGGATCGAATCGAGACGAATAACGAATCGAATCAAATTTAACGAATAAAATGCCCAGCCCTAGCTATTACCGGTTAGTGAAAAGTCTGCTTCCTTTTATGGTTTATTATATTTATTTGCTGTCTTTTGAAAATTAATACGGGATCTTCGATTTTTGATTTCCATAAAAGGGATTTGATTTACTTTAATATGGACTAATGAATACCCGATACGAATTTACGATGTACTTTAATAATATAAATATTAAATGATTAACAAAATGAATTAAAAATTTATGGGAATTGGTGAGATAACAAAACAAAAGTAAACATTGTGATCCCTACCAAAGATAATGGGTCTGTGGGGTCTCGGCCGAGATAATATATATATATATATATATATATATATATATATATATATAATTATAATCAATAATATATGTATAATCAATAATATATATGTATATATTTAAGCTTATAATACTAGAAAGACTTTCTATCTATTTCTTTTAGTTCAAATATATTAAATCAAATTTTATAAAATTAGGAGAAATTTTAATTTTTTGTTAGGTGTATAATTACAAAACGTAAAATTAAATTTCTAAATTTGTAGAATTAAAAAGAAAACATGATACTGGATTAGAAAATTATATGTTATTTAAAATACATACAACTTTCAAAAATGTTTTAGCAATAAAAATAATAGAATTATAAAAATAGAATAAAGTATACATATTTATTTTTCTACGGTTATATTACTTTTCTTATATTAATGTTGATCTATGAACTGTTATCATATTATTAAAAATCTGACAAAATTTTTGTAAAAAGATTAAATGTAAATATTTATGTTATAATTAACTTTAAGTTATGTAATATTTATGTTATAATTAACTTTAAGTCATGTCATTATTATTAGTATATATGTAATTGTTTTTCTTTTAAAATCAATTGGTAATGATAAATAGCTAATCACTTCTCAAATAATATCTAGAGAAAAAATTGAAGCAAAAATATTCTAATATTATTCTATTTTTGACTTTAAATAGAGTAAAAATACATGTACTCTACATATAGAATAATTCATTTATTTTTTTGTTCATTATTCTGTATTTTTTTTATGAAGTTTCAAATTTATTGATCTATGTAAAGATTGTTATTTACAAAATGGTTCTACTCTTGCTCTAAAATAAATAAAAGAATGTATGATCTCTACCGATGCAGTAAGCTCGAACCATCTTTGTAGTAACCCTCAATACTTGTGATCATGCTTGTATTTCAGTGATGTAATTCTGTTTCTCACTGCCTTATCGATGATCCGACGAAGCTGGTCCACAGTTACTCTACCTCTCTGGTGTCACCTAGCATTTCTCTCCATCCAAATGTGATATATGGTGGTCTGCAGCAGTAATTTAGCCAAGATAGTGTCCATTTCCTGTTGTTTCAGTCGCTGAATACGGAGCGCTGTCCATTGCCAATCCGGATTGATGCTATTCCCCACAAGTCTACGAGTCAGACCTTCCCACACCGTATAAGAATAAGGACACGCAAAAAATAGATGATCCCGCGTCTCATTCCGCTCCCCACATAGCTCACAACTCTGAACCATTTCCCATTGCCTCAAACGATCTCCAGTTGATAATCTATTCTTCATGGCCAACCAAGTTATAAATGAGAACCTCGGTAGTCCTTGTGTGAACCAGATTACATGACTCCACTCCTCCACTCCTCCACTGCTCTCCTTGTTCTTCTTTGTTCCCATGTACTTGCTGCAGAGAAGTTATCTCGAAAGTCATCTTCCCCATGCTTCCACAAGACAATGTCCCTTCCCTCTTCAGCATATGGCGGTGTTGCCACCATAATACAGTTGTGTAGCTCTGAGAATTTACGGCTCTTTTGCCCTCTAATGCACCATCCCTCCACTGTCGCAGCGTCACTAACTTTTGAGCGCCTCCTTACACCCAAATAAGTAGTGCCTGTAGGACCAGTGATAGCAATCAACTTCCCCTGCCCAACCAAGCCAGTCATCGAACCAGAAGTGACAACTTTTACCATCTCTAATTTCAGCTCTGAAAAATTTGTATGCCACATCCCTTAACTTCAGTAGCTTTCTCCATATCCATCCCTTAACCAGAAGTGACAGCTTTTACCATTACTCTGTATTTTACTATATTATAGAATACAACTAGGTGTTTTGCCCGCACATGCGCATAATTCTCTTATGAATATTTTTTAGTTGTTGTTTCATTAATTTAAAAATCAGCATAGTAAATTATTATTTATGTTTTCAAAAAGTAAAAATCAAACATCAAATAATTATCAATGAAAAAACTCAAACATCAGAAATATTTAAAAGAATATATTTCTATAACTATTTTTCTTGATTTATATTTAATTATAACATTTATATCTTAATTTTAAATTTTATATTAGAAAAACATATTTTCAAGATAACAATATAATGCATAAGTTTATTTTCTGAAAATATAATATGATAAACTTTTTGACTATTTAATAATTATATAAAATTATAGAAATTATGACATATAGTTAAAATTACCTAAAATTATTGAGAGCTTAATGAATCAGCAAATTCACTTCTTAAATAATTTTTCTTGAGTGATGATTTATATTTAATTAATAATAGATAATTTTCTATTTTAATTTTAAATTGTATAATATAAAAATATATTTTCAGGATAACAACATAATATATAATAATTACCATATTCTCTAAAAGTATAATATTATTAGTATAAATATTTCAATTATAGAATAACTACAACTTCTTATATCTTAATTTTAAATTTCTAATAGAAAAATATATTTTCAAGACAGCAACTTAGTACATAAGAAGTTTTTTATTTTCTAAGAATCTGATACTATTAGTATAATTTTTTAAAAATATATAATAAATTATAAATTAAATTAGATAAATTGATAAATTATCAAAATTACCTAAAATCATGGAAAATATGACAAATCAACAAACATCAAATTCCCTTCTTCAATAATATTATAGATTTTTCACATGTTAATTTTAAATTTTATAATAGAAAAATATTTTTTCAAGATAACAGCATAATACATAAGAATTAACTAATTTTGTAAAATATCATATTATTAATATAAATTAGTTTTAATTATATAATCAATAATAAACAAAATTATAGAAATTCTCATAAATGATCAAAATTACCTAAAATCATGGAGACAAAAACAAATTCACTTTTCAAATATTTTTTTATGATTTATATTTAATCATTAATAATATAATTTTTATATCTTAATTTTAAGTTTTATAATAGGAAAATATATATTCAAAATAACAAAAAAATCCATAATGATTATCTTATTTTATAAAAATATTAAATTATTAATATAAATATGTTTTAACTATATTTAGATATTAAATTATTAATATAAATTCGTTTTAGATAAATATAATAGTGTTTATATCTTAATTTAAAATTTAACTTTTATATATAAAATTATATTTCAAGATAACAACATAATTCACAAAAATTATCTTATTTACTAAAAGTATGATATATTCATGTAGATTTGTTTTATTCACAAATAAAATATATATAAATATTAAAATATGATAAATAAAGAAAATTGGCTAAATTTATGGAGAACATGACAACTAAGCAAATTTACTTCTTAAATAATAGTATAGATTGTACTAGAATACATATCTGTTATAAAAATATTTTATTTTAAACCAATAGAGATAGTCGTATTGGTTTGTTGAGCGTCGTCTTAAACTTTTGTAATTATGTATTATCCTGATTAGGATAAGTGATTATATGTCATTAATTTAATTTATTTACTTTAATATGTTTTACTTAGATATGTTTATTTTCTAAAATTCAACACAAAATTAATTAAAAGGACAAGACAGATGAATTCTATAATTCAATAGCTAAAATGATTATACAAACCTTTAATAAGTTGGGAACGAACTATGTTACTTTTCAAAATTTTGGAACATTTAGAAAATTTTGGAAATATTGAGAAACTGAAATAGTTTTGAAAATATTTATGTGTTTGAGATGATTTATTATATTCAAATATGTAAGAGAAAATTTTGAATATATAACATATACCTACTCTGTTTGTTTTAATGGGACAAAACATTGGGATATACATAATCAGGGGAGGATCTAGTGTTCACAGGTGGGGCAAGTGCCTCCAGTGATTTTTTTTTTGAATTTTAATGCAATTGTTTTT